TTGACGGAGCGTCGAACTTACAGTCAGACAATCGTGTGCATGAATGGTTTAGTCACTTGCCTTTTATCCTTTAGAGGCTGACTAATATATACCATAAGGTGAAACAGAACACCGCTACTACAAGTAATGTCAGATATCGAAATTTAAGGAAGATCATCATCCAACTGCAACAAGTCTTCTTTTCCTAACTAAAATCGATAAGACGTGGAGTACGATCGACTCAGGCAGAGAACTCCCAATCTCTTGACCTTAAGGATCAGAGGTGCCGAGCTTGCGTTGTGCTTTCTGTACCCAAGTATGCAATTAATCGAGGGCGAAATATGCGACTTACTTGTTTTACTAGAACTGTAAACAGAAACAATAGCAAAATATGCAGATACGATTTTTGAACCCATGGTAGCAGCACGAAAGACATCGAATAAAATCTTTACTCTACGAAAATTCGACATTTCGACAAATTCAGCTTAGTTAACAACCAATGGTTAAGTAGAAACATCTTTTTTAAATGAAAAATTTACTTCCTGCCGTTCTTGTTGTTAACCATGAGATCAGAAGACGTATGCACTTTACAGCCATTTAGAAAATGAAATCACATGTGGTTTCGAAATTACGTACAGTAACGACGAAACTTCGAAATTCTGAAATACAATGAGAAAAAAAATACTGCACTAACCCTGTTTCTGAGTTCCAAACGAAAAGGTCACTATCGACACTGATCCATGCTCGACTGACTGCCGGAAACAGACCCATAATACAGTTGCACTGCATGCCTGAAACCTAAACCGCATGACAAATATTTTAGAGAGTAATTTACTTGAAAACTGTTGCAGTAATTCTTCAGGAATGACATGTTTCCCTACGGATTGCACTTCGTTAGTGCCAGTTAAGCCAATCATATCGAAAGTTGTATATTCACAATCCTGCATTCCCGAAACTCTTGCGAAAGTCCCTGAAAGATTCATTCTTTAATCCTGTTGATTTGTTAGGGCTGTCCAAGAATTTACGACCTTCACGATCCCGAAGGCCCATCTTGGAGTGCAAGTCAGAAGCGACCGTGTCTTTTGTATAACACGAATCAACCAACTGACTGACCAGATTCCTCGTTGTCTCCGAATTAGGGCCCATCAGCGGTGACGAAGTACACGCCATCGGAATGTCCCTGTTTTTCTCTGAACAGTGGAAGATAAACATATACACAGAGCTTCAACAGCGCTCACCTGGACTCAAATTAACCATCTCGGTAACGGTACCTCTTACAAACTATCGACCCAAGAATAGATTAAA